GCCCATGATTGTTCAGTATTTGATCGCTTAATCTTCTGTTATTTCATGGGATCCTTTACCTTTGGCGACGAAGGTAAGCGATGGTTGGTGGCGCTGCTACACCGCCGCTCTGTGTCTGCATGTTTCCTGCGGTCATCAGCTTTCATAGTTTTTTCTGATAGCTAAATTCTCCTTTACTATCGACTGCTTTCTGGCGAAAGTTCCCACCACATATTCACTCCAAAAAGGTAGACAGCTCAGAAAAATCTCAAATGTTAGGTCGGGGACAGCGTGACTCCATATTAGGTCACGCTTTCAGTAGCAGTAAGCTCATTGAGCTAAGATTATTTTGGCATTTTCATGTTTCGAAACGCTCAGTCACATTATCGAAAAAAACACTACCTCAAAGTTTTTGGAAGGGTAAGGATTACTTGGAGAAAGTATAAAAATTGCGTCGAGAAGCGCGCGCAACGGCGATCGCCAATGCGTAAGGTCCACTTCAGAATTTGTCAGAAGTCGGACATTTTTACAAGGAATTAGAGGAGCCACTCATGCCAACGCGAAGGGTCATATTCAGAATTTGCACATTTTTACGGAAAATCAAAGCCACTTCATAAGACTCACTTTAATCAGTAGAAGGTAAATGGGCAGTCGTTGAGGTAGAGCAAGGCAAACGTCGTCCATCAAATCCTTCACACTACACGGTACACGATCCGGTGGAATTATGCCGGCATCGATGGCACGTGCCAATTGGTCAACGAAGAACCAGGAACTCTTCAAACAAAATTTTTAGCTTAGGGTCTCTGTGAAAATTTGAAAAGAAATATCGATCTATCTAAACCATAACGACCCATTCTGGCGAAAAAAAAATGAAATTCAGAGAAACAAATGAATGAATGAAATAGTTTTCAGAAAGTCACTAGCGGTGGTCTTACATCACAGGCATCCAGTACTTCGCAGTGAAGACACTGAGGTAGGCGTACTTCTATGAAACGATCCAGCTCGTCAATACCTAAACCAACTGCGATTAATAAAGAAATAAAATAGTAAATAATGTCCTAAGTAATATTGATGGATTAAATCGCTACTCCAGTAAGGTATAAACGATCCAGGAGCTTGGGGTCGGTTTTAAGATCGGGGACAGCTCGGCAATGAGTCACGCTCCCGCGGGGAAGGCATTCTTTTTGTTTGAATTATTCAAGGGTTACAAAGAATAAACTCACATTCGCTCAGTACAAGGTCATGAAATCTCTCGAATTTGTACTGATCAGACGGAGCAAGGGGTCTTGATGTAACGGCGAGTCGCATCCATGATGGAAGGGAGCGATTGATCTGGAAAGCACTTTCTTAGCGGAGTATCAAAAAGAATGAAAAACTCTGACAAAGCCCCCTCCCCCACCAAAAAAAAACCTGGTCCTCGAGGTTCCGTTTTCCATATTTTCAAAGAATCAACGCTGAGCTAGAGAGGCTCAGGAAGGCCAACTTTTTCTTAGATTCTTGTCCTTGATTTGTTTAGTCTAGCTAAAGATAGAGGTCTCTGTGGTGCAATGAAAACCACACTGTGCAAAGAGCATACATATTTAGGGTAGACGT